TCTTTCGTTCACGGCATTTTGCACTATATGCAAGTTCTAGGTTGGAGGCCAGAATAAGGCAATTTCTTGAATCATGAGTTCTAGGAATCAAAACAATGTATTACAAAGGACTTAACTGTATGTTGGAAGGTTAAGGCAAAATAAAATTAATAATTTAGTGCTTAAATACATTATCCAGGGGACTACATAATCAGTTTCAATGATAAAAGAGATCAGTAAAATCTCAGCTTTAAATGAGATGTGTTATCTCGATACGAAGGATGAGTTACATTTTAATGATTGAGAAAAAAATTCTCTGCTCATTATGTGAACTTCTAAAGGATATATTATTTAGTTAAGTCCCCATGTGGCCTAAGGCAAATGGTGAAAGGTTAATAAAGACTTTAAGTGCACCTGTCTCTAAAGCTGTGACACACTGTAATAGCAGCTTCCCATCTAACTTTTCTTAGGATTTACATATGGCATTAGTGTTGTTCCTACAGAGTGCTTAAGACAAATAGATCATTGTTCTGGATATTTCTACAAAAAAAAACATTTTTACAAGTGCAATTTACTCTGATGTCTGAATATATTTTAATGAGTGCCAATATACCAAGTTTAACTGAAACATATTAGCTGAAGGTAAAATACTTTTGACTTGCAAAGGAAAATGTTGCAACAGAAGTTGCAAAGTATTGTAGATTATACGTAAGTGATAATACTGTATTGTATAATTCTACCACCTATAAACTGCAACATAAGGATTTATTCAGTAGCAAAATGACCAAAATTCAGCAAAAAATGATCGAAACTTGACTCATTTTAAATTTTCACAGTAGAAGACCTAACTTTTTAAAAATCCAAATTAAGCAGTCAGAAACAAAAAATAAAACAGCTCTCCAACAGCTGGGTTGAAAGTTTCAGGTTTCCCATGTTATGGACACATGAGTAATATGGTTTTTGATCTCTGTATTTTAATTTTCTCCTCGGTCAAAATGTTAGATATTCTTGCACAAATGTTACGTTCAAAAATGTGAAAACTAACCATTTCTCAATGAAAAATAGATTTGAAAGCTCAATCAGCAAATTTAGATAAATAGTTCTTAATGCTACACGTCTGATTTCTCAATCTGATCCTTATAAATTACTCCACAGTTGCATATCACTTGAATCAGCATCATACAACTGGGGCACATTTTCTATCAGTCTTACACAAAATGATTTAATTTCAGGAAAAAGCCTAACTCTTGCTGGTATTGCTTACACCTGCTGAATGCATGATTTTGTACATTACAAGCTCAACCTGATGACAACGTTTTTGACCTCCCACTGTCTCTAAATTGTCATACTGCTTATCTAACATTCAGCGCTCAATGAGCAAATATTTCCACCAATTAAATATTGGAAATATTGAAGCCATTTGTTTTCAATCCCTGCTATAATCTCCATTCCCTCACCAATGATTCCATCCCTCACTCCCTGGCAACAGTCTCAGCTCAAACCAGACATTTTGCAACCTTGATGTCATATTTGACCTGGGAAAGAGTTTTCAACTACATGGTCACTAAGATCACTTGTTTCCCCACCTATCACCTATCTCCAGCACTGTCTCAGCTCTTCTGCTGCTGAAACCTATTCATGCTTTTGTTACCCTCAGAGTTGACTACTCTAATACAATCCTGGCTGGATTCTCAAATTCTACCCTTCATAAAACTGAGATCATCCAAATTTCTTCTGTCCATGTTCTAATTTGTACGAAATGCTATTCACTGATTACCCTTGTGACCGGTATCCAACACTGACTCCTGGTTAAAAATGCTTCAACTTTAAGATTCTCATCTGTGTTTTCTAATCCCTTCTTAGCCTTTCCTGTCCCCCATCTCAGCAATCGCCTCCAGCCTCACACGTCTCTGATATGTCTACACTCCTCTAATTCTGGCTCTTGAGTATCTCAGATTTTAATTGTCCACCACCAGAGACTATGTCCTGAGCTGACAAAGACTCTAAGCTCTGGATGTCCCTTCTTTAGCTCCCTGTCTCTCCAGCCCACTGTCCTCCTTTAAGAATATTCCTTCAAACTCAGCTGATAAAGCTTTTAGTCCTCTGCTCTAATATCTCCCTATGTGGGCTGCTGTCATATTTTGGTTCACGTGCCTCTGTGGTATTTTATTATATTAAAGATGATATGTGAATACAATTTGTTGATATTAACAAACATGAAAGTTCCAAAAGACATACAATACTTAAAATGTTATTCTGCAATTTTTTTACAGACTGATGTAAAACATTGCACCCCAATTATATTCCTTCAAACTCATGCTATCTACATTTGATTGACAGGTATCAATCTTCTTATTGAAAGTACAATTCCACTAAATCACTACAAATATTGACATACATTGATGTTATTAACTCTCATTGTAGAGAAATAAATCAGTGGTTAAGATTAAGAAATGCACCGTTAATACACCAAAGGAAGAATTTAGTTCCCTCTCCAGCTACATGGAGATTTGGAAATTAAACACTTGATTATAAACATTTTCCAAGCTTAATCATGCCATGCCATTTTATTTGTGATTGTCATTGTCCCTCTTTATCAATTGAATAGGCCTTCATACCCACCACTGATTCTATTATAGATAATAGTTCAGTAAGCGGTTATGGGCAAAAGTATTGATGGAATAACATTATTTTATGATACGTAAGACTCAGAAAATGATCAAATTACAATATTCTTAATCTAATTGTGAGCATCACTAACTGTGAACTTTAAAAACATAGTTTATTCCTTCCAAAAATCTTCCATAATGGCTTAAAGAATTGAATACAGTCATTCTAAAATTACACATTACTACTTCTTCATATTTAAGATGAGCTCATTCTTAATAAACAACTTTGTGTTGCTACCCACATGAAAATGCCTCTAGAAGCCTAAACTGTCTACTTTATGATGGACAACAAAGTGGAAATCTTGTAGCTAGTAATGAAAATTGGAGAATAGGATATTTTCAATAACTTGTCATAGGAGAGGATTGAGACTTTCTTCAGATTATCCACCCATCATACCCACCCACCAGCACCAAAGAGTATTCTGAACCCGGTATAAGGTAGTTTCAAAGCCATTGCTGAAAGATCCCATGATTATTGTGGCAAACAAAGAAGTACCATTCAATATTTGTTTTGTTAAGAGGAATAGCTAGATTATTGGAGTTTACATTAATTATAGACACAGTTTGTTTTTCTCAATAGGGCTTAAAAGGATAGTTTAAAGCCACATCACAATAAAAATTTATTTGGAGAATATTTGCATTGTCATACTTCAGAACAAAACAAAATGAACTGGAACCTATGTAAATATGAGAGACAAAGGCATTTAATTATAAGGGACTAATTATCTAATTGCTGTAAACTTGTACTTTTAACTGGAAATAAGATAATAAGATAATTGTGCAGACGTCTACAGAAATGTGCTTTATCAAGTTAAATTTGTGTTTTGTCATATCCCTAATGTGCAAAGACCATAATTAGAACTTCTTTTCATCTTCATAAAAATTACAATAAGAATTGTGTTTGAGTCAAATATCCTAGGTTGGACAGCGGTTTTCTTTCACTGCCGAGATGAAAACAATATTGCGATTTGTTTTGGAAATAAAAGCCCAATGTATCACTCAACTCTGCCCTAGTGCAGCAGCAAACAAGAGACCACACAGCGTGGCCTTGAGAGAAAGGTCTCCTCACCTGGACACCTGCTTGTGAAACATCGCTTTCCCATGTGCCTTTTTCCCATAACCTGACTTCCTTTTAGATATGGACAGATAAAGCTGCTATTATAATTCAAAGGAATTTGCTCACTGTGCGCAGATACAGCAGTCTGTGGAGTCTGCACGCTGGACAATGGCAAAGGTAACCTTTATTGATAGTTAATGGCACAAGGGTAGAAAAGACATTTCGCTTCAACGAATGAAACGTAAGATAGGCACAAGACCTTCAGCGCAACGAAATCAAAACCTGATGCTGTGTCATGAAATAGAACATAATAAATGTCTGAAAGCCATAAATTGTGAGCAGGGCAATTACACAAGGTCATTTCAGTGCAGGTAACATTCGGCAGGGTTTAATTTCCTGTTATGGATATCAAGTATTGAAGGGGGCATTATTATTTTCGCATAATCTCTGTTTAAGAACAAACCCCATCATGAATAAAAAGAAAATTCTGCCATTGGTGAAAACTGTTCATTTTTCTCCTGCCCTTTAAGCTTCCAACGTTTTTAATTCGGCGCACCAAACAACCAAGTAATGAACAAACACAATTCATGCAAATCGATGACAGGGAATTAGTGTCTTTCAATCCAATCAGATTTACATCGTAGTAAAGGGATTTTGAGTTGCCTGGTCGACTTCTAGTCAGCTGAACACCCAGCACACCCCACAGATTTTGAATCCTTGCATCTGACGTGCTTCTAGTTCCCTCTTTGGCTTTTCTTCATGTTTAGAACAACCTCGGCCTCGCCAATAGTTTTTTTTTCAGTTATGTTTTAGTGGGATCTTGACCTATCTCTAACTTCAGTGGGAAAGCTGTCAGAGATACTTCAGGGCTCTTTGGTAGGGCTGGGCAGTGCCCTCAGTTCTGGAGCACAGTGCCCACAAGTGGTACCAGTTGCGGCTCTCACACAGAGAGATGTCAGGCGGCCTTGGCATGGTTCCACCTCCTTTCACTGCTGCCACTGTTCAAGGCTCCAGTTTGCCTCGACCAGTGATTGATCTGCTTGAGGGAGACTCAGCCAATGAGCGACGGTTAACGCGTGGTCTCCTGTCTGTGGAGAAGCTGGGCTCGTTGGTAAGATCCCTGCAATAAAACCAGTAAGGGAGCTGGAAAAGGAAGGTAACGCATCCCATGAATTAGTTATAACTCAAACAAACCGGGAAGCTTTATCCGGATGCCAACTGTTGGCGGTAGTCATGGTAAAGGGCTCTCAGACTTGGACTTATGCCAGGGCAGAAACTGTTTATTTAACTCCTACCTTGCTGGATCCAGGGATGACGAGCTTCATGGCTTGCCTTTTGAGCTCTGTTAACTTGAGCTGGCAATTTTGACACCAGGCCCCTTTCTCTTCCTTCTCAAAGGTACTAGCCTCGGTCCCGGAGACCGCTCCTGCTCCCTCGGGAGCCGGCCGACTCCCGCAGTGATCTTCCTCGGCCGCCTGTAATCTCTTCCTGAGACCGGTCTGCAGGGGAATGGTAACCTCCTTGGCCGGACTGCCATCCAGCACCTGTAAAACACATCAGCAAAGAGAGGGGGAAAGAGAGAGAGAGAGAGATGGATTGAGATATGCCGGCCACTTCACTCAATAACATGGAGTCGATAGAAAGTCTCACTGTTAAAAACTTCGTCAAACTAAGAAATACTAACATACACATGCAGGAGTCACTTATTAGACTTCGTTTCAAATCTTCTAACAACAAGTTCAATTTGTTTAATGTCATTAACCCTGCTCTTGTAAACTCCGCGTAATGCTCAGTATTACAAGTCAACCAAGTCTTTGACACTTTTGACATATATGTGACCAGGTGTTGTGCTGTGGGTCTATACCTCTTGGCTTTAAGTATCGTCTTAGAAAACACCATGGGAAACAGAGACCAGCTCAGGGTCCGGTGTAGCTTATCCCGAAACTTGACTCAGCCTTGACCCTACATACAGTTACTGTGAGCCCCAGCTTTATTACTTACCGCCAGTCTACGACAGTCCGGCTCCAAACCGCGAGATTTACTCCCTCGCATTGTGGATCAAGTCACTTTCGGTTATTGCAGGAACACATCAAGTCGGGACCAGAGTCAAAGAGTTATTGGGTCAAGTCCTGACTCTCCGCTGGGAAATGCGGATTCATATCAACAGCACGCAATGCACTGAACGAGCCGTCTGATCATGAGAGCAACACAATTGTTTTTTTCAAATACCCCTGAAAAGTCTAACACGGTATTTGCCCGGCCACATGCTTCGACTATTCATGTCCTAAAGAGGACAAGAATAAGTTTGAGTTTGAAGTTTGTGTGGACTCGGGGAAGAGGCAGCGTCTCTTCCAGTGGGTGGAGCACCAAATGCATTTAAACCACTGATCGGTCAAGGAGTTCCCGTGACTGACAGCAGTAAACTGCTCACCACCCCGTAAGGATGGGGAACTACCAATGCCTACTTTCAAACGGCACTCTCGTCAACCTCACATGTTTCCGATGGCAAAACAACCTAATCTGGAAGGTATCAAATCCAGAAAGGGAGTCTTCGGTAAAATAGAATCACAGTACGTGAGGCTGTCAACAATCTTTCATTTATTGCGCTGTGTGATTTGTGGCTGCAATTGCCATTCAAATCGGAGCACTCAGATCATGCCAATACTAGAGGCGTGCTCCTCCAGTGTCCTGTCCCACTATTTCAGTTCTTTCATATTGGCAAAAATAAACTAACTCATTAAAACGGAGATTGAGATTCAAATCCACTCGCGAAAGTTTCATTGGCGACCTTGTTCCCTTTATCCGGTGAATTGTACAGAATCTTTCTTCACATGATATATTCAAGTTTATTTGGTTTGTGTTAAGGTCCCCAATAATTCTGTGGCTATCAGTTGTAAACAATACACCCAATTCCATGTCCCTAGCCATCACTACCAGGAAATAAACGGAATCATTTTATAAAAACTAATACTCCTTAATCCGAACAATTTATTTCTCGTCTCAAAGTCGATTTAAACGCCTAAGACTCGCCTCTTTTTTGTTGTAACAGTATCCTATTCGTCTGCAAAGTTATTCCAGCTTCCATTCTTTCTAAGCGCGATTGTTTCTGTAGCTGTAGCGCCACTTGTTGGCCACAACTAAGAATCCGCACAGAGGACCAAATGGGACCGACCACAAGTTTTTCGCTCTTTGCATTTCAGGAAAATCCTGCTCAAAATTCTGTGTTTCGCCTGCGTAGGTCGATCATTTCTCTGAACGAGTCCAAGTTCGCTACGTCGGGAATATAGGCGACACGTGAGATAGACTAAGGCAGAACACATTACAGAAGACAAAATAACCACGAGAAAAAAAAATTCGTTTTGAAACTCAGAATATTTCTGTATTTTTAACAATCTGAGACTATACTTAATATTTTGTAAGTTTTTGGATCCTGATCAATGTTTTGAGCGTGCGGGAATAGTTCTCGTTTAACATTAGGCAGAATCGCAGAGGGGGAGAACATGTTGATCAGAGGAAACCAGACGGGTGTGGATGCGTTCATTCATTCCAAAACTTAGAGATACCAGGAACACCCTTCTTTTTCTAAGCGCACATTGATCACAAATATCAAATCAATTGGAGCTAAGGCTGAAGAAATTTGGATAAGTACCACATTCCACTCAAACACTTCAGGGTCAATATAAAATCCCTATCCAGTTCCCACCGCGCTTGGTAGGTGCAAATTTATCACGGTTTGGAGTTTGAGTATTCTTTAGTGTTGGCTAGTTTGGCTTCCGGTTAGTACTCAACCGTAGTGTCAAAGTGACTTCTGAATGTTGGGGCAAGATTGCAATGGGCAGACATTACATGGTTCGTGTCATTGTTTACAGACCCACAGCCAATAATGAGTGGGACATAGGTGTGAAAACATGGTGAGAAATGAAAGCTGAGCTGACGGCGACCCGGAGTGTGTCTGGGGGAATTGGGAAGGGGGGTGGAGCGTCGGTGGGTTGGGCGGAAGGTGAGGGTCGGGTCTCATTACAGGAAGAAGTAGCAAACAGCTGTGGAAGCTGGAAGAGGACAAAGTGCAATTGTGAAATGTCTGGTCAGTCTAGGTGGGTGATGCATCTCAAATAAGCCTCCTTTCAGCTGTACCGTGTCTCACGGGTCTCCTAGATAAAAAGAAGTTGTTCCCCCACAGAGCTCTTGCTAAATAGCAATGAGTGCAAACGTGCCTGTACACTGGTGATGAAGTTAAAGATGAGACACTCTGCTTCTACAGGTTTTGCCCATTACAGAATTACAAGAACTTTATTCATGGATTTTTACAATGAAAAGCACCTCTGGTTTAAAACATAAGAACAAAAGAACGTTAGCCCTGTAATTCTATAAAATCAGCCCTATTTGGATCACAAGCAAAACAGCCACTTTATCCCACGATTCAGCCCAAGACTCCACTTCTCATTTGCCCTCGAGAAATGCGTCTGGACTTTAAATTCCACCGGGCTAGTCTTGCCAACAGGACAACAGCGGTGTATTTGTGTTCCTCTACACCGCCTGCTGGCCTGACCAGGGAGGAGAGGGCAGCTCTGCTTCTGGACCCTGCAGCCTCCGCTCCTCGGAGTGGCGGGGGGTCTCTCTCTCCAAACCCCACCCCCACATCCCCCACCCGTCCTCCGCTCCTCAGCCCGTGTGCCTGTGTCACGGCGCGCGCTCGCGGCCAGAGCACTGCGCGCACCCGAGAGCCGCGCTGCACAGCGCCGCCCACTTGCTATAGGGGCGCACTCCTTCGGCTGCTCTGTCTCTCTCTCTCTCTGTCTCTCTCTGCCAGGGATCGGTTTTTGGCTTCTGCAGGCGCCTGATATGTAGGCAAGGAGAGGGCTGTGGGCAACAGCCCACCCTGCACGTTGCTGAGAATCTCGCAGGGCCCAGGGGCGGCCGTTTCCACCTCACGCCTGGGTGCTCTATAATACATGCATGTCCTTTGAGAATCTCCACTCTTGCGCTTACTTTGAAATGACTGCCTTGGAGTTTTTGAGTTCGCAAGACGATGAGTTTGGACCGAACGTTAGGCTGTGCTGAGGAGGGGGGAAGTGGCCTCAGTGCTGAACACCATGAATTGCTGAGGAGTTCATGGCAAACTCCGAGCAAGCGCCTTTAAAACCCTGGGAATTGCTGTCCGCTTTCTGAGCTCTAGGTGTCGAAGAGAATACAGAGGTGTCTGGAGGCTGAGAGCTCTCCTGTACAGCCCCGGTTTGCGCTGCAATGATCAAACAGTATTGCTTTCTCGTTTCACATCCACGAGGACAAGGTCGAAGCAACACATTGGAAAGTTTGCGCCAAACCACACACACACACACACACACACAATCGAAACACACACATTCGATTTGCGACTAAAGGAAGACAGCTGAGCGGCGTGCTTTTAAAAGTCAGATCGCTTCATAATGTTGCAAAGGATTTCTGAAAACACTCACCCTGTGCTTTCGCCTTAAGAGGTGACTGGTGAATCCAAATATTATGTCAGAGTCCAGGCAGAAAGTGCCGATTTCCAGCAAGTTAGTGTTTTTCCTGGGAGGGGACTCTGGTGACTGTTGTGAAGACATGATGCTGTGCGATCTTCGAGCTTGCTCCCTGAGCCGCACCCTGGCACGAAAGACGCCTCACTCACTGGATAGTGACATGTTGGCAGCCACCGCTTGTTCCATGCCCTGGCACAGTGCGCAAAAATCCCGCTAATCGGCAGTCAAGCGAGCTCCGGTCTCTCTGTACCACTTCCCTCAATAACGTCCCACCAAAGTAACCTGTTCCAGCCGGGAATCTTCTTGCATCCACTGGCCCCACTGTATGAGGCAACATCAATAGCCATCAGCAAATCTTCTTCGGAAACTCCCCCTCCCCAGCACCCACCCAGCCACCCCGGTTGCTTCTTCTTCCAACGGTGGCACGGAAAGTGTTCACAGCTCCTGTGTCTGTCTGTGTGTACTGTGCGCGAATGATCCACCCTGGATCTGAAGGTTTCCGCTGTGGACTGGAGGGGGAAATGGGTTGCAGTGAAGCAATTTCTTTTTGTGTGTGTGTTGTGGATGCTGGTAAGCCTCCCCTCACATCACCTCATTCATTAGTGGTGGCTTAAGGAAAGAGCTACATCCCTTGAAAACCTGCTAATTGTTGGCTGACAGCCTGGAACCTTGCTGCTGGAGCTGGACCGCCAGTGACTCGAGAGGAGCCAATCCCACTGTGGTCAGCTAGGTGACATAAACTACTGACAGGATGAAATCACAGTGAATAATCGATTTCTCCTAGAAATATAACATATTCCTAGGATTCTTTGAGCGACCGAAGCAACTCGCAATCTCTTAAAAGTCCGATCAGAATTTCTGGGGAAGGAGCACATGTTTATGAGATTTCTAGGTTAATTTGCGATAATCAAACAGAAAAATCAATTAAATTCTGATTATAGCCAGCTTACTCTGCATTCTACTCACCTTATATCCTCATCAATTAACATCTCCCACCAAACTAATAGAGAAAGATGATTGAGCTATTTAATTTTTCTTCAATTACTGTACAGTATATTTGCACGATTACTTTTTATATATTATAAAGTGGAATTTTAATAAGAAAATCACATAACACCGATGCAGTAGGGTGTTCTTTCAGTTATTTATCACCACAGAATATCTGCAGAATACTTTCTTTCGGGAAATTGATAGGGATCAGCGCCAAGCTCTATGTCTAGTCCACGGAAAGCTGGGCAAAATGATAACAGGACAGCGATCTCAAAGTTATTAACACTGTCCTCGATTGTTCTTCCAAATAAAGTAAAACATCAACGAATCGATGGTGCACAAAGCCTATTAGAGTAGATAAAGTCCATTATTTATATGTTTTGAAAGCGATCCTCAGACATTAACATAACTCTGTTAATAAAAATCTTATCGCCAGGGCACAGAGGAGTAGTCGACAGATAACCAGACAGTCATTACCTTTATAATAAAGAAATTTGTGTCAGTGATTTAAAGAATGCCACTTTTTCCCATTCGGCGGATTTGCCAGCGCTCGGTGAGATATGAGGTTTTGGTTTGCTGCTTGTTTATTCAGCAGTTATTTGAGTAACTTCTCTTTAGATTAGAAGTCCTTTAGTGATTGGTCCAAAGCGAGTTTCATAAAAGATTCGCACGGTGAACTGAGGGCATGTATTGTAAGCCCCGTCTTGTCTCACTGCAGAACCATAATAAAATACTTGTGGGACGCAAGGCTGACTAAGTCCTGCCCTTGAACGTGTATTGATTTCATGTAAAACCGAACATTTTAAGAAAAACAAATCCATCCGTTCCGCTGCCACCCAGTACTTCCGTTTCACAC